ATTATATTAATCCACAGAACTGAGCTGACCTGTGACAGTCTCATTGTCACAGGTCGGCTAGAACTATGAGGTGAGTGAAAAGCACTCACCTCATAGTTCTCCTTTAAATACTTTGAGTCAACTAGCATTTTTCTTAAAAGGAGACCAGCAATGTTAATGTTGTCAGCAGACAGATATGATGCTAAAGCCCTGGACAGCAGTAAAACCCTAAGGAGCTCTAATCCTTTTCTGCTCTATTCAAAACTAAAAAACTTGCCAGCAGTCACCTCATCAGACTGGAGCAAGCTCACTGACTTCACTGGTTGCCAGGAGCTGGGCAGGAGGCCAGCCAGAGTGTTCCGCTCAGCTCCTGCCAACCAGTGACATCAGTCATTTGGGCGGCACACCGGACAAAGCGTCACAGGTTGCTAAGAGCTCTTAGCAACCGGGGACATTCTGGCTGGATGGGACCCAATGAGATGCCGTCTGAGGCAACCGCCTCAGGCTACCTTATTATTTGGTGTTGGCCCTGAGAGCTAATATAACATAGCAAATAGTTATATTTTGAGTTCAGGTTCACTTTAAAGAGGAAACATGTACTGGATTAAATACAAAGATTTCCATTGTCACTCTCCTTCTGAAAATTATTGTTGCCTGGCTTCAGTACATTCTGATGCTAACAACAAACATTCAGATCAGTAAAGTCAGAACTCCTAATTGTCATACTTGTTCTGAGCCAGTGACACAACTGGAGAACTAGTATTGTAGTACTACTACCAGCCTCCATACTTGCTCACTCCATGCTTTCTATTTGACTTTTTGGGGTTGATTTACTTAAGCCAAACAGGCTGTTCACTCTGCAATGGAAGTGTGGTAGCACTGGAACAGTAGGAGTAGGAATCGTTTTTTATGTGAATTTGAAAAAATGGGGGATATATACGCCTGGAGGGAGATAACCCATAATGACGGTAGTGCAAGGACCTGGTTATGGTCCAAGACTGCTGCCTCTCTGGTCACGATGGGAGGATTGCTCAACAGAAGATCAAATCCTGGATGTGTGATTAGTAGTGCCTCCTACAAAAATGGTTATCTCGCTTGAAGATTTGTCCTGGGTGTTTATTTAAATGGATATGTCAGATGACAGTCAACGCATTTTGGGGGAATCAGCCTCCCCCTCCTTCAGGGCTTCAGCAACAATAAGTAGTGGATTCAGGAAGGGAATTTTCAATTAGCTTAATGAATGTGGTAAAAATTTACTTTGCGAAGAATACCCAATCACATGCAAGGAAAATAAAAACAATTTTGATTTTTAATTGCATGTGGTTGGATGATAGAAGTCAGCAGAGCTTCGCCTCATTTAAGAAGCTAAGGGAACATTCTCCCTGCTCCACCCAGAACCAGTGCTTGTAATATAATGCTACCAGAGATGCTGTTAATAGAAGACATAACATGTCATAACATGTCATAACATTAAGACACCCGCCTAATATTGAGTAAGTCCCCCTTTTGATGCCAAAACAGCCCTGATCCGTCGAGGCACTGGACTCCACTAGACCTTTGAAGGTATGATGTGGTATCCTGCATCCAGCCGTCAGTAGCAGATCCTTTAAAACCTGTATTTTGCAAGGTGGGGCCTCCATGGATCGGACTTGTTTTTCCAGCACATACAACAGATGCTCGATTGGATTGAGATCTGGAGAATTTGGAGGCCAAATCAACACATCAAACTTGTTGTGTTGCTCAAACCATTCTTGAACCATTTTTACAGTGTGGCAGGGTGCATCACCCTGCTGAAAGATGCCACTGCCATCAGGGAATACTGTTTTAATGAAGGGTTGGTCAACAACAATGTGTTAGGTAGGTGGTACATGTCAAAGTAACATCCACATGAATAGCAGGACCCAAGGTTTCATAGCAGAATATTGTCCAAAACCCCACACATCCTGGTGCCATCTCTTCCCCAGGTAAGCGACACACATGCATCTGGCCATCCACATGATGTAAAAGAAAACTTGATTCATCACACCAGGCAGCCTTCAGTCATTGCTGCAAGGTCCAGTTCTGATGCTCACGTGCCCATTGTAGGCACTTTTGGTCGTGGGCAATTTCAGCAACAGTAGCTCTTCTATTAGATTAGACTAAATGGGACAGGCTTTGCCCCCCACATGCATCAGTGAACCTTTGCCACCCATGACCCTGTCACCGATTCACAGATTTTCCTTCCTGGGACCACTTTTGATAGGTCCTGACCACTGCAGATCAGGAACATCCCACAAGAACTGCAGTTTGCTCTGATCCAGTCGTCTGGCTATAACAATTCAGCCCTTGTCAAAGTCACTCAATCCTTACGCTTGCCCATTTTTTCTGCTTCCAACAACTTCAGGGACAAAGTGTTCACTTGCTGTCTAATATATACCACCCACTTCCAGGTACCATTGTAAGGAGATAATCAATGATATTCACTTGGCTGATCGGTGTATATTTTCTTTTTGTTGGTGTGCAGAGATTCTAATGGTTCTTATATATTTGATGGTATAGAGAGATGATATGCAGCTAGTTATGCATAGTACACCTTGAAAATATCTCTCACAATTGCTCAGTTATGCAGCCTATTTGGAAGAGATTTTGTGGGTGATGTTGCTAAATTTGTTTTCCCAGCATGTCACTGCAAGTGATTGTACTCAGGAAAAGCAATATCTGGTATTGCAGAGCCTTTGCTGCGTGAACGCTCTCGGATATTGTGATACAAGTGTTTATCCTGCTAATAAACGATTGCTTTTTCATGCGATAAGAGCTGAAGTAGCACAACTGCTCTACACCAGTACCATTTAGCCTCTTACACTGCAACAACAAGCTTGTATGTATGGAGGGTCAGCATTGCTCTCTCTTTTTTATTTTTTTTTTAATGATCGGTCCACCCAAAAGCAAGAAGTTACATACCAACCCTGTGGAAACAGCCTACTTCCCCATCTATGGCACTGTGGTACTCTAAGATAACAGAAAAAGAATGCATGGAAAACCTAACAGCTTGTTTATATAATTGTGAAGAACAATTCAAACAGACATGGTTTTATGGGCATGATTACATCCTCACTCAGGAATATGATAAGCTTCTGCAAGAACCTATCACCTGAGGATTCTATGTCAAAAAGGGAGATGGTTGCTGATCTGCCCCCTACAGCTGGCATTCCCTCTTTGGTATACCTTTATCTACTATTCTATTTCTAATTCTCATGTTTCTGACCTTTGATACATTCTTTCCTGATTCTCTTACTTCTCTTACTTGGAAGATATGGGGAGAGGGGGGAGAAGAAGGAAATATAAATAAATAAATAAAATAAATGTATGTATGTATGTATACATATGTTCTCATATAGTCTCAATAACCAATATTGTCTAAAGACATATACCGATGGGATTATACTTTATAATATCTGATTTTTTCAAGATATAATTTGAAATGTTTATATTATATGATTAGCTTGTTAACCTTCCATAATGCTTAATCTATGTTCTTTGTTATTGAAAATATAAAACTTAAATAAAGAATTATAGAACAAAAACAAAAGCAAGAAGTTAGGTATAGGTGGAGTCTGCTGGGCTAGGTCAGCCCGTGGCTTCAAATGTGGTTTGGATAGCCCATTAATAGAAATGAGTTAGTATCTCTTTAATAGTAATGAGTGAGTACTTGATGTGAACTCAAGTCAGCTGAGTTTGCCTAATTCCATGCAAGACTCTGACATACCTCCCTCTCAGGCCAATCAGTTGCGGCAGGGGCACTGCCCATCCAGCAGCAATACATCACAAAGGGCCGCAAATGCCTCCATTTATTGAGCTGGGGGGGGGGGTCAGTCACAGTTTTGCATGGGCTTGGGCAAACTGGGCTCGCATTAAACCCCTACACATCATGACCCATAAGCTAACCTATCTGCCATCATTTCTGACTCTCTTTATGTTCATTTCTAGTCTACATGCATGCACGCCAACATTGGCTGAATGGCATTTTTCAGGGAGGTCAGAGTTTTGAGTAGACTTGAATGAAGTCGAACTGGGTTCACACCAAGCGCAGGCTCATCTCTGATTTCCGCTCCAAAATCGTGCATATTTCTGCGCAATGTCGCTCAATGTAGCTTGTACAATGCATTTCAATGGAGCTGTTCACATCTCACAGCTCAATGTTGCCTGTAGCTCGTCGCTCAAGCTTGTAGCTCAAACATGACCTATTTTTCGGCGGATGTTGCGCGATTTGGCCCCAATAGACTCAATGGTGTCGCGCAAAACCGGCGATATTGCACGACCTTGTCGCGCGATATCGCACCACAGAATGGTCACTTTTGCACAGCAATATGGAAGGAAAGAATGATGTCACATCAAGACCGCTGTTGATTGGTTACAGCCCAATGTAGCAGCGACAAAGTCCCTCCCAAAAGTCGTGCTACGTAGCGCAACAAAATGTGCACTGTCGCTCAATATCGCGCAATGTAGCTCAACGCCGCTCAGCACGAAATCGCGCGGAGAAACACGCGATTCTCAATGACGCTCAGTGTGAATGGGGTCTCATCACTAGTCCCCACTGTACTTGGCAAAGCTGAACTCCAGGCTGATCAATGATATCTATTTCCTCCAGTCAGGTTACTTTTTAAAATCTTATATATATATAATCAATGGCAAGAGAATCACATTCTGATTCAACCACTGGTGTTTGATTGTGGTAATAAGGGCAAGTAAATAAAATACCAATGAGGCAGCAGACCCTACTGCCTGCCCATTCCCAGTGCTGTGTCAGTTCCAGTGAATTGTTCCTTTGCCCTGAGGCTCATCAGGTGTTACTAACCAGGCTAGATCTGCTGGGATGCTCAATGGTTAATTACTGAAAAATTCTTAGCAGCTATAGTGCGACTCATATACATGTCCCAGCAGCTTTGGTGCAATCTTCCATGAAACGCAATAATTGCAGACAACTCTCATCTGCCAGCTAAACTCCCTGTTTCGCCCACAGGATCATCGTTGACAAATGGTTAATAATTAAATGCTCATTTTGAGCTGAATCCTGAAGAGTTGAGGGAGGCTGCGACAACAGGACAGGAAGTCACAGCTGCTTGCAAAACACCAGACTGACCATTTGACCATCAGGGTCTTATTGACATAAGCTGGGCCCTCTAGCAAAGGTTGCCATGTGTGGGAGACGAGGACACAGCATGGCCACCGGACGCCTTTTCGCTATTTGCTTTCTTTTGTTCTTCAGCTTTTGCCAGATCTCCGGAGTACTGGTGAGTTTATTATCTGATATTCTGGCCTCGTCACTGTGCATTGTTTTATTTCAACAGATAAAGTGACTTTAATCTCTAGTTACTGAGATATGCAATCCTTTGCTGGCAGTCACCTCATTGGAATAGAACTACACAGGAGATTTTGCTGAGAATTTAAGTCAGTGCAAACGCTTTCTATTCAGTTTTGAATTACTTGGGGAAGTGTTACATCTGCTGTCAGGTTTTTATTGTCCACTCGGTGTCCCCATTACAGAGACTTGCCCTTATGGAGACAACACAGGAAGTGAGAGGAAATCCACACACACAGAGGGGAGATCCCACTCTTCACAGTTGTCACCAGAACAGGTTTCCTCATTGGGACCCCATTCACACCACGGCAACAGCGTTTCAGCACGCTTTACGCACGTTTTATTAATGCATGTTTTAACTCCTTCATGACTGAGGCCTTTTTTTCATTTTTTGCACCCATGTTATATTCCACATTTTAGGCCTAAAAATTACTTAAAACCCCAACACATTATATATTTTCTGAATGCCAAGACCCTATACAATATAATGGTGGTAGTTGCAAAATTTTAATATTAGCGCAACTCCTTATTAAACCCCAAAATTTAGTGATAAATTTAATGAAATGCCCCAAAACACAACAAAATACCCATTTTTTAAATGAAATATAAAAGATGAGGTTACAACGAGTAAAACGATACCCAACATCTGTTCATAAGCAATAGCATTTTAAGGCATGTTTTCAGCTCCTTTTAAGTTGTCCAATGAAAAGCAGTCTCAGCTGCAAAAATGCGCTTAAAAAAAATCTGATCGACACATTTAGGTTGTTGTCTACGGAGCGTTTTGCTCCATAGACAACAACCTAAATGTGCCGATCAGATTTTTTTGGCTAATTAGTGCCATAAAAGATACTCAGGGACTATTTCAAACAGGTGTAATATTCTGCGCGATTCAGCGCGTATGTGTGAACGGCTACCATAGGAATACATAGGATTTTATGTTGCATGATTTAAGCACAGAAAAAAAACGCGTGACGAAACGCCCTGGTGTGAACGGGGTCTTAAAGTGTATGCTGCCCAAACAATGCACTGCTGTGATTTGCTTCCTTTTGGTCTGTTGTATAAGCGTCAAAAAAATCCTTTGATCGTGTCAGAACTTGCCATGCACTTTGCCTGTGTTATCTCAAGTCCTGCCTAGTTCAGTTCTGTAAATTATAGAACATCTCCCTACTATAGTATGTAGATTAGGAGAGGGGAAGTTGTTATGTAGTCCTAACACACTTCCTGTCCAAGGGTGACCAAGCTGCTCCTCCATAGACACAGTACAGTGAGTGAGTGCTGCTACTCTATTTCAGTAAGGGGCTGATGTATAAACGTTCCACCCAACGTATAGCTGAACACCATTTACATGGCATTGCTGCCACTAGATGGAGCCAAGGATCATAGGAAATTCCTGTGCTCCTTGGATCAGGGGCTGACTGGCAAGTAGAACCCAGAGGCCCATGGTGCAGCAACTTGGCCCCCCTCCCGCTCTGCCTCTTCCCCCGCCTTCTCCACGCCCCTGTCTGCCACTTTTGCCATCCATGTAACAGTAGTGTGAATGTATTTATCGGTTTAGGAAATGTAAAGCACACTGGTAGTGGAGGGATGCCACGTCAGGGCTGTGCGCGTGCATGACTGCTGCGACCCTGGTACTTCTGCCACTAACTCAGAAATACGTTGTACAGCATTGCAGAATGGCATTGGCTATAAAGAACTACAATTCCAAGCAATACATTACACAACAATGCAGAATACCATCAGCTATAGAGGACTATAAATCCCAGCAATAATGACTACCAACAGCTATAGAGAACTACAATTCCCAGCAATACATTACACAGCAATGCAGAATACCATCAGCTATAGAGGACTATAAATCCCAGCAATAATGACTACCAACAGCTATAGAGAACTACAATTCCCAGCAATACATTACACAGCAATGCAGAATACCATCAGCTATAGAGGACTATAAATCCCAGCAATAATGACTACCAACAGCTATAGAGAACTACAATTCCCAGCAATACATTACACAGCAATGCAGAATACCATCAGCTATAGAGGACTATAAATCCCAACATTAAAGGAGAACTATGAGGTGAGTGCTTTTCACGAGCGCATACAATTTACTCTTCTTTCAGGAAATATATAATTCTGGGGGGGGGGTTAAGTAATGTTCAGACCTAAAATGGGGATTATAACGTATGCAAAAAACAAACAAATAGCAAAAAAAACAGCTCTGTCAGCGAAAGGGTTAAAGTGTTGGCCCAGCATGACAGTCTCCATATCAGAGCATACAAGGGCATAAGCATACAGGGCATGATGTGATGTTTTAGTAAAGTAAACTAATAAGATTGAAGTTATATCCTGTGTGTGCTGGTGATTTACTGTTAGACTTTGGAATTCTGCGCGGCACCATCCATGAAATCACTATGAGCACCACCACTGGTCGCAAAAGCTGTAAGGTCTTTATCTATCTATTATCTTATCTATATATACATTGGATTCACAATGCACTAATTTGTATGAATTTTATACACAAAATATTTTTTCTGTTTTGTACGAATTCATATTATTTGTTTATTTATATGCATATGTGTCTTTAATGAGTATATACATGGATGAATACATTGATTAATGATATAAATAGAGGGTTATTTAGTTCAGCACGTTTTCACTGCTGCTTACTCTGTAATGAGGACTTCTATGAAGGAGCATTTAGGGAGTTGGGTTTATTATTATTAAACATCATATAGGATGATGTTTTGCACCTTTTAGGGGGTGAAAATTCTGTATTTATCTACATATGAATTTCAAACCTTTTGATTCACTGATATTAATACACATTCTTTTAGGGGGGGTGTCTTTTAGCTAATCAATTTTCAGATGAGGATTTGGGTCTTCTGATTAAAGGTGCCCATACACTGCACGATTCTCGTACGAGAATCGCGGGAAATCCTGCGATCAAGGTAAATGGCACTTTCGCCATTATTCCAAAAGTGCCATTTTCGGCCGATATGTTTCGGCGGCCGATATACTGTATCTGTGCATCCCTAGTCTTAATGACCATCTATGGCCAACCTCATACCTCTCAACTGTCCCTCATTTGACATCAAATCCCTCTGTCCCTCTTTCCTCTTGAAATGTCCCTCCTTTTTTTCTGTAAATGCATTACAAATTACAGATGATAATATGATTGTTTTGGTTTGTTTACCATTTCTTTAGTCCAAAGTATTGCAGATCAGATTTTTTCTTAGTGCAGCAGTGCAAAACTATAACAGGGCAACGTAGCAATGAATGGAATGTTTAAGCCCCAATTCACACCTGAGTGATTTGTTGTGCATTTCCTGAAACACTGCAACGCTCAACATGAAGATTCCCATTATATTAAATGGTGCCCATTCACACCTGAGCGCCGTGCTGCGGTTTGCCACTCGAAAAAGTACATGAGCTTTTGTTCAGGCAGAATTATGCATGTTTGGTCCCATAGACTTCAATGGGAGCGTATGAAAATGTGCAACACAAATGTTTTAGCGTGTTTTTCTCATCTAACCTGCTTCTCCAAGCAACCAAAGGTCATTGGATAAAATTGAGAATTCAGGAGTGTCCATGCTGAAGGTGGGAGACTTTTATCTGCCTGGTGAGGGCTCACAAGAACCTCTACTAACTCAGTGATGCCAATTACAAAAAACGTGGCAAGTGGCAGAGGGCCTAGGAAAAAATTGGGTGTAAAATTTTCCCTGACTGGGATCTCCTGTAGCACAACACACCACAAAGGAGAACCAGGAAGCAAATACAAAGACGACAACATATATCTTGGTATGCTGATGCCTTAAGAGTTCCCTTCACTGGAACTAAGGGGCCAAGCCCAACCCCTGAAAAACAACCCCACACCGAAATCCCCCCTCCACCAAACTTTACACTTGGCACAATGCAGTCAGGAAAGTACCATTCGCCTGGCAACCGCCAAACCCAGACACGTCCATCGGATTGCCAGACAGAGAAGCGTGATTTGTCACTCCAGAGAACACGTCCCCACTTCTCTAGAGTCCAGTGGCGGCGTGCTTTATACCACTGCTTCCAACTCTTTGCATTGCACTTGGTGATGTAAGGCTTGGATGCAGCTGCTCATCCATGGAAACCCCTTACGTGAAGCTCTCTACACACTGCTGTTGTGCCAATTTGAAGGCCACACGAAGTTTGGAGGCCTCTAGCTATTGACTCTGCAGACAGTTGGCAACTTCTGCGCACTGCAGCATGCGCTGACCCCGCTCTATCATTTTACGTGGCCTACCACATCGTGGCTGAGTTGCTGTTGTTCCCAGTTGCTTCCACTTTGTTATAAAACCATTTAACAGTTGACCGTGGAATATTTAGTAACAAGGAAATTTCACGGATGGACTTATTGCACAGGTGGCAACCTATCATGGTACTACGCTTGAATTCACTGAGCTCCTGAGAGCAACCCATTCTTTCACAAATGTTTGTAGAAGCGTCTGCATGCCTAGGTGCTTGATTTTATACACCTGTGGCCATGGAGGTGATTGGAACACCTGAATCCAATTATTTGAAGGGGTGTCCCAATACTTTTGGCAATATAGTATATGATATGATGTGGCAGATGATATTGCTTTCCATTGGCCAAAACAAAAACACCCGATGCTTTAAAACACGCCAAAATGTGCCAAAAAGCTTTAAATTGTCTGGAAATTATCATGCTCAAGTGTGAATTGGGGCTTATTGCAGGACAGTCAATGATGGTAACAGGCCCTTATGTCACCAGTTCCTAATGTACTGAAGATGAGCTCACCCAACAAAATGGCTAAATTGTATGAAGGACAGGTACACTTTAATGCGGAGGGAAAACATGTCTGCAGTTAATGTAAAATCAATGAAATGGTGGCACATTGAGAACATTGAAGTCCAAACACTATGTACCCTATGCTTACG